TGTCTCAGAAAAACAAAAAACAAGCAACGAGCACACTGCAGCTAACCTCACTCAGCCATTTTTTCTTCCTACACTGTAGGTTTCATTCGACTGGATGTTCACATACCTTCCTGCATGTACTTAACATAATTATAGTAACTACATAATGCCATTTTCACTCTCTAATGTGTGTCAATTTCATATCAGCTTCAGTGGACATATTTTTCCCAATGTTGCATCTTATTTTTGTGCCTATTTGCATGCCTGTTGATCTTTGATTGGTGCCAGCATTGTGAATGTCACCCAGTTGGTGGCAAGTACTTTTGTATTCCTTTGAACATTCTTGGACTGTCTTTGAGGACTTTCTTTGGCTAAATTCCTTTGAGGTCAACTGATTCGTCTGGCTCTTGATTTTAATACTTGTTAGGCAGATCTGGAGAAACATTTAGTTCAGGGTTAATTATTCCCCGGCACTTAGACAAGACTCTTTTGAGCAGTTCATTAATGCCCCAATACGTTACAAAGTTTTCCAATCTGGACACTAGAATAAACTGTTTGGGGGCCTAGCTGTTTCCTCCAGACCTCCTGTGGCTCTTTCTTAGTTTTGGCGTCCTAACTGGTACACTGCGGGTAAAAGACAGAGTGAAGATTTCTAGCACAAAGCTGGTGAAACACTGGAGGAAGGAAGCTCTGTTACAGAGGAGAAGAGGGGCATCAACCATCTGACAAGAACTTGAGGAAGGTGACCTCCTTTTGCAGCTTTTGAGCATGATGAAAGAGATAAGAAGGAAAATGGTGTGTGTGGTGTGTATGTATGTGTTCATGTGTGTCCATGCACCCACACACACCTGCTGTAGTACTCCATGAGAGCGTTTTCATGAGCTAAGAGTCAGTGACAGTATACAAGTCCCAAACACTAGCAAGGGATCCCCTGCAGATCTTCAGAACCCTCTATTTGAGTTGAGTCTCTCTTCTCTCTTAGGCACTTTTCTTCTGCAAACTACAGTGACCTCTCCCAAACTCTCAGTTTGTGATCTTATGTGTCCTGGACTCTGCCCGGGTAACCCATATCCATGCTTATGGACTAGAAAATTCTCATGGCAGGAGGTTTGGCCAATCTTAGGACTTACAACATGACAGATCGAGTTAGGAGCAATAAACAGTTGAATCGGGCATAATTATTGATATGAATTCACAGTTTGTTTTGGTCAAACTATAACCCCCAAATAGCCTATATATACTAAGTGAGGTTGAAATGCCAAGCTTCCTTGGTAGTCCATAGAAGAGGGGACCTGAGGCCTCAAAGAGATGGAAATGCCAAAGTGTAAGACCTCATCCACCCCAGAGGGTCCAGAAGGCACATTTCATTACCACTACAGCAAGCATTTAAGCTCTTCCAGATGGACATTTCTGTTCAAGTTGATATAATTTAGTGATGAAAGTAAACCACCATCTGAGTAAGCCAGAAAACATAGTGCAGGACTTGAATTCATGTACTCTAAGAACAAGTCCCTCAATTATCGGCAAGTCTGAATTGGTTGTTTCAAGGCCTAGAGGCCTCCCCTTCTCTTCTCAAGTATAAAAGCCAGCTCTTGCCAATTCTGCTGGGAAGAGAAGGGCACAGCCACACTCAGTGAATGGCTACCATAGGTATCTGTAATGTTTCATCATCGGTTTTATTATGGACACTGGAGCCATTCATCTAGGCATCCTGTGTGATGGTTCCTTTCATATGCCAATGTGACTAGTTCATAGTCTCCAGCCAGACACTTGGTGAAACTAGTTTGGATGTTGCTGTGATGGTGATTTTTTAAGATGGGATGAGCATTTAAGTCAATGAACTTTCAACAAAGAAGATCACCTTCCCTGTGTGCATGGGCTTCATCCAATCTCTTGAAGGTCTTATGAGAAGAAAGATGGACTTCCTCCAAAAAGAGGAATCCTGCCTTCAGACTCAGTGTTATCTACTCTGCTCTAAGGCTCTAGCCTACAGGACTGAGCTGCAGAATCTCATGAGAGTCTTTAAAATAAATATCCAAAGTAATGGGCAGATAGAAAACCAGGCAGGCAGGCAAGTGGGTATTAGCAAAATGCATCCTATTAGCTGTGTTTTCTGAGGCACCCTGATTGATACATCTATATAGAGTTGGGCCTCTATATCCATGGTTCTACAGTCACAGATTTGCTCAACCGTAGATCTAAATATAAATTTTTAAAAGTGCATCTTAGGGGCTGGAGAGATGGCTCAATGGTTAAAAGCACTGGCTGCTCTTGCAGAAGACCTAGATTCAATTCCCAGCACCCACATGGCAGCTAACAACCATCCATAACTCCAGTCCCCGGAGATCTGACACCTCCTTCTGACCTCCACGGGCATTGCATGGCATGGGTACACTTACATACACACAGGTACATACTCATACACATAAAATAATAAAAATAATAAATATTTTTAATGTGCATCTTTAGTGGACATGTACAGACTGTTTTCTTGCCATTATTCTCTAAACAATCCAGCATGACAACTATTCAAGGGGAATTTACACTGTATTGGGAATTGGTATATGGGGGGAATGTGCATATGTTGTATGCAAATACTACACTATTCTATGTAAAGGACTCATGCATCCTCATATTATGATTGCATGGGGTCCTGGAACTAATCACCCTGAGGGGTGACTAAGCCGTGCATTTATCTCTTAGCATGAATGTTTTGTTTTGGTCTTTTTGAGACATGGTCTCCCAGTAGACACAGCTGGCCTGGAACTCACTATAAAGACCAGGCTGGCCTCCATCTCACAGAGATTTGCCTGCCTCTGCCTCCCAAGTGCTGGGATTAATGGCATGTACCACAACACCTGGCATATCATGAATGTTTTTTATTCTTCTTGAAATACAGTTGAAAGCAAAGATACATTGCCAGTCATGGTTCACAGAGTTACTTTTGCTAATGAATCATGACTGCACTATGCAGTCAGTACAGACCAAAGAATATTTTTATGGGAGAGACAATGAAGCGCCCATCAAAACTTCCCTCCCCTATAATGTTCACCTGCCCCTGGAAAGTGTCTGTCCAGACAGGCAGTGCCTGCCAGCCTCCTGTGCAACCAGACAAGGCCTGGTGACAAGTCCTCATGGTATTCACAAGTGATAAGCATTGCTTTTAGGTCAAGGAAATTAATTCAAGACTCTTGTCCCCATCTTCTCTCTCACTGAACAGCAGAGAGTCCACAGGCATAGGAAGTAGGGGAACCCCAAATAGAAAGATTGAAGATTCCTGAAATCCTCTGTGGAGAACACGGCTGCTGCCTGCAGTGTCTGCCCTTAAAGAGACACCGGAAGGAAACCTGCACTGCATAAAGCCACTGAAAATCTGGGGTTTGGCACTGTAGCGTTTCTCTAGTAAAGCCCTTCCTCCTCTGCCTAGGGCAGGCAGGATCAGGCAAAGCAAGGTGAATGTGAGCACCTTCCAGAGAGCAGCTGTTCCTACTCCAATCACCCAGTAGGACTCAGGAACCGGCACTTGGAACACTGCCTCAGCAGGCCCAGCTGCAGCCATCCCCTCCTCTTAGGATAGGGCTCTGAAATCTAGCTTATTCCTGTGTCTTGCCCACCTGAGCCACATCCGTAAGGCAGTGTAAGGCACCTGGATCCTGCCCACCATGTGAGGGTCTCCATGGTGGTGCCAGGACGGGGGTAGCATGAGGGTGTGGCTGAGTGACCAATACTACACCTTGTCTTTTTTTCTACATCCACCCTAAGGAGGGCAGCTTTCTTTTTCTGGCTAGCATTAGAGGGTTTAATCTGCCATCCCTTTGGGAGTACATGAGGGGAATGGAGCAGGTTGTGCCTGCATTGCTAAAGCCAGATCAGAAGTTACTGCCAGTCCCAGCCACATGTGCACTGCCATCCCATCCCTCATAGAGCCAACTTCGTGATCTCTAGGTGGGGGTTACAGTAACGTCAGCCATCCAATAGAGGTCAGGGTGGGGGTCAGGGACATGGAGGGTATGGAGGAAACAGGTTGCCAGGGTGGTTTATTAGGATACACCAGAGTTCATTATGCCAACCCCTCCACTTATCTACATCTTTAAAATTTTCTATACTAAAAAAAACAATTAAGGAAATGTCTCCTATGAGCTGAGCAATAACAGAAGAAGCTCAACTGAATTCAAGCTTCCATCTATCCTGACACCTTTTCAGGATGTCACGGTCCCTTTCATGAAGGAAGAAGTGCCTTCCACAAACAAATTTGAGGTTTTTTTCTATATCCATTAATATTTAGTAAGTATCATTATCTCCAAGTCCAATCATTTAAAACAAGATTTTAAATAATTGATTAATACAAAAGGAGAAATCCACCACACTGCCTTGTTCATTACCCATCAAAGCCCAGAAAAATCTCTTCTTCTAGTCCTCACAGGGACACATCAATATATTAATGCGCACACCGAGAAGACTAGCCTACAAATCAATACACACACAGCTGCTTGCGGTACTTCTCAAAGGGAAAACCCACCACTTCCCTCACCTCCCACGTGGTCCATTCCTCCATACCATGCCAAGCAATTCTTCTATTAAAGAAAGTGTCTTTATTTTACAGTATTGCAGTATTTTGTAGTCTACAAAGCACACAGAAAACTAACATTTCTCAAACTTTGGTAAAAATATGTGATGTTCAAATACTCCTATGTACACAAACAGATCCTAGGGGCTAGAACAAACACCAGCATCTAGACTTTCAAAGCATCTTTGTTTATGGTATGCCCTCCAGTGATGGCACAAAAGCCAAGCACACAAATAAAGGATGTGATGGGAGTGCTGAGGAAATCACTCAGGGGTCACTGCAGAAGTAAAGCAGGCAGAGGCACAGTAGTTCTCGAGGCCCCATCAGCAAGTAGCAGACACTTATGCACAAAGGTCTACACCACTTCCAGCCAAGAGACTGAGTATTCACACTTGTGCCTGTGCAAAGGTTAAAATATTATCCAAGGCCACTGAAAGTTCCAGGTGTCACTTACCACAAGCGAGAGGGGCCTCTTCCAGGAGACGACACCAATCAGTCCTGACAGCAGCACCTGGAAGGGCAGAGTGGCGGGAGGTGAGATGTTTGGAAATCTTTCAGACCAACTTCAACTGGTTCCAAACAGCAAAGGGCAGGTGAAACCCACACAACACAAGAGTGTGGTTGCAGTGAGCTGTACTCCTCTCCAGATGATCACAGCCTGTGGGCACACTGTCAGGCACACCTGGGCCTCTCAATCATCGCAATTACTGCACTATAAGGCACGAGAGAAATGGGCTTCCAGAAAGATCCTCTACCAGGCTGTGTAGTGTTCCTGGATTCTCTAAGTTATTTAGTCCATACTCTTTAAAAATCACAGAAAGAATAGAAAATACCCTCTGGGGAAATGGTAAAGCTACCCCTCACTCACTGGCCATCACACAGCCTTTCCTCCATCCCCTTTGTTTTCAACACAGCTTCCCATCTTACCAATAAGCAGTTTCTCCTTCAAAGCTTCTGGAACTTTCCAGATACTGACTCTGAGTGGCCCACACCTTTCCCAGACCAAGTCCTGCTTTTGTCCTTGCCTTGAATCCTTCCACAAGTAACCCTTGCTTCTGGTTTCTCCTTGCCATCTCTATCACAAGGATATGATGGGTCTTTATCCTTTAGAACACCACCATTCAGGCCTTTGTCCATCTAAGACACAAACTCCCTCACCCAATATTTAGGTTCACCCTCCACAACTCAGCGGACCTCTGCTTCTCAAGGTCACCTGAGAGGTCACCCAATGCCACCTTGTCTAAACTTCTTTCCTCAGCCTTCCTCTAGGGTCTGTCTCCCAATTCTCAAGACCTTTGTTTCCTCTTCCCAGGCCATGGGAAACCTAGCTATTATAAGGCTCTTAGACCCCCTCTGCTCATACAAAGCACTGCCCCGACCACTAAGCATCGCCACAGGTACCTCCTCCTGGTGCCTGTGGCTCTTCCATTCAACACGTCTGCAAATCCTCTACCTCCCAGGCCTCGTGATCTTCTTATAATCAGCTTTCTACAATCATGCTCCTCCTTCCTGGCCACTCATGCCTAAATCCTGTCCCTCGCCAGCCCACCCCCATATCCAAACAGATCCAGGGCAGGAGGCTCTGGCTTGCCCTTCAATAAGACAATTATGTTTGGAGGCCTCATTATAAACAAGGTGTTTGGATATGGGATCCAGAAGGATGAATCACATACATCTGACACCGAGGGATCAGGCCAGGCAGCCAGGGACCTGACTGGAGCTTCGGCTTCATTTCCCTTCAAGGGCTGGCCAGACCTGAGGAACATGCTACTGACATATGTACAAGATCTCCTTGTTCACAAACTGCAGGCGACCCTCAACATATCTACAGTGGGTGGAATCAGGTCACAGACCCAACAGGCTCCAATCAATGCTCATGAATCCTCTGGTCCACGTTGACAGCTGCCTACAACCTCTTCCCTTTTCCCATGCCTTCTCTCTGCAGGATGCTCAGCTTTCTCTTCCTTGTGAACACGTTCTGGCTCCAATGCTGAGGAGACCCGTGACTGGTATCTCTCAGGTCTCTGGGCAGTCAAATCTCATTAATTCTTTCAAATGTCCCTAGAACCTGATTCTGAATTTCTATCCCCAATGCCTGAACATCCACAAAAGCCTCTCTAAGGCCAGGTTCATCATCCTCAACAGACACACCTTGGTCCCAAGTCATTTCACAGGTAGATCACAGGGCTATTTCTCTAAGAGACATCTTGCTAGAACTCCCACCACCATCTCCTAAATGATATTTCAGACTCTAACTTCATTCCTTCACCTCTAAATCTTCTTTGGATTGATTTTTAATTCCCACCAAGAGTGCCATCATTTTCTGAGCTCACGATACAGTTCAAGGAGCAGGGGCAAAAAACTGGATTGATTACTCTGGATGTCTGTCAGTTTGAATGCTCCCCTTATTCGCCCTCTGTCTTGACAAAAGAGCTCATTCACTCACCTCTAACTACATGAAGAATTATCCCTGTAAGAAAGGGGTTGAGGGTTCCCTCTCTCCCTCTCTCCCTGTACATGTGCCAAATAAAGATCATGTGACTAACAATAGGTGAACATCTGCCAGAAAGATGGCCCTCACCACACCTGGAACTCACTAGCCAGCCAGTCTAGTCTATCAGTGAGCTCCAAGTTCAGTGACTCCGTCTCAAAAAATACAAAGTTCCAGTCAGGCATGGTGGTACATGCCTTTAATCCCAGGACTCCAGAGGCAGAGTCAGGCAGATCTCTATGAGACCAAGGCCAGCCTGGTCTGCATGGTGAGTTCCAGGCGAACTGGGGTTACAGGGAGACCCTGTCTCAAAAAACAAAACAAAATAAAAATACACTCTTCCAGAGAATATCCATTGCTTTCAGTGCTTGCCTGATATCCATAATACACACACACACACACACACACACACACACACACACACACATATATTCATACATTCATGCATTGTTCTGGGTCAAGGACAAGGAAGGTTATGAGCTGCATGTTTAGGTCACAAGAGGAGCTCAAAACCTAACAGGTTTTTTTACATTATAAACAAGCTAAGATAAAGTTTTTAGTAAAAGTCATTTGTCCAGAGCATGTACATAGTATAAAGGTCATTCCACACAAGATCCCATGACACCCTTCAAGAGTATACCTCCCACTATCTAAGGGCCTCCCACCTGACCCCACCTCTCAAAGCTACCACCTCCCAACAGCACCAGCCTAGGGACTTAAGACTTCAACATATGGGCCTCTGGGGCCATTTAAGATCCAAATTAATGCATATGCTAATCTACCTGGTGCAGGACACTGGATTCTACTCCTTCTATTCATCCACAGAAGCAGCAGACTTCCTGCTTCTCCAGGGCAAAAACAGTGGTGTCAGTTCAAAGGACAGAGAGGGCCACAATACATCAACTTGGAGTTTTTCCAGCTTACGTTCTGGGATGCTAGCTCTCTCTGGACACCTGCTCTAGTCTACCTGAAACCCAGGGGCACAGAGCATGACCCTCAGATCACAGCATGAAAGAATTTCAGAGCCACTTCTCCTCAGCTATTGGTTCTTAGCTTCAGCTATTTCTGTCAACTCCAGTTACCCATGAGGCTGCTGCAAATGCTGGTGCTGGGTAGTTCTGTGGGTCTATTTTATTTCACTCCTGTGTAGGAAAGGGTTGTGAGTCAAGCTAGCCGTGAAATTACCATGCCATGAAACCACTGACCCATTTAATTGACCGGTTTTGTTATTCAAAGTCCACAGTTTGCCAAGAATATGGAAAAACTACAGAAGGTCAGAGAAGAGTACCATATAATTAAACAGCTGTGAAAGAAAAGCCAAAGGAAAAAGCAGAGGCGGGATTTTGCTGAGGGAAGCTTCACTTCACAAGTGCTTCTAGTTAAAAGTAAACCAACTCATTCTCATCCTCGCTTCCCTACCCAGCCCAAGAAAGGCAAGAGATAAAATTAGAATTGAGACTGAAGTTCCTGCTGCAGAGGGTGATGAAGGGGATAACGGACTGTCAGGTAGTAAAGGCATCATTACAGCCAAAAGCCTTTCCAGTCTGATGGGTACCACTGCTGGCCATCGAGGCCTGGAATGAAGTAGCTCTTTAAATTTTGTTCTCTTAATACTGGAAAGTTCTTTTGATACTTACAATCAAGAATTTTGTTCAGATCATCAGATCTGATTCAAAAGCAAATGAGGCAACATTTTAGGCACTGAGAAAAGTCCTTCTAGAATGAAGGCGAGAGCCAATTCAATTACTTTCCCAAAACATATGGAAGGTGTACCCACAGCTACTGTGAAGTCAGCACACCAACAAGAAGCCAGCATCTTCCCCACACCTGGAGAAAGAAGCTGTTCGGAAAATGGAGTGATCTGCCCAGGCTGAAAGAAGTGTGTGGAGCCTAACTTCCACGGCTTTTCTGCACCACTCATTCCTGGTCAGCCTCACAGTGGGACAGACCCTCCAGCTCCACGCAGCTTCATGGTTTTTTTTGCCTGTGTGCCTTTCTTTGTCTGACTCTCAATGAGAACACACAACAAGGTTTGTTCAGCTGTTGAGTTTTCTGTTCTTGTCTGCAGAACCAGGAAAGACAGTCACCATCACACTTGCCCCGCCCATGATGCTGCCTCTTCTCTTGAACAGCTCCCTCTTCACCACCCTCTCATAACCTGTCACCTCCAGCCTAGGGCCCCAATAGTCTCCATGCCCGTTCCTCCTGGGGGCTATACCAGTACATCAAAGTCATAAGGTCCCCAAGGAAAGCCACCTTTCTGTTATATCAGGGGTCTGTCCCTTTAAGATGCTGGCCGTTCTAAGATGCCTGAAGAAATCAACCCCCATTTTCATTCATTCACATATACATATGTATGTATAATATACATAAATATGTATGTATAATATATATAAACATATATATTCTTTCTTCCTCTGGCTCTCTCTTTCTCTCCCTCTCTCCTCTCCGCTCCCCTCCTCTCTCCTCTGTCTCTCCCTCTGAGGCAGAGTGAAAAACACATCTGTGCTGTGGTTTCACAGTCTCTAATTTATGGTCCTACAGTGTCCTCTCTTCAGGGAGTTCTTTGAGGGCTCCCTCTTCTGCAAGCCTCCCCTGTCATCCTGCCCATGACGGCTACTTCTCTCTCTTACTCTTACTTAAGCTATCTCTCCTAATGAAACTCCTCTCTGGATTCTCCTCTTTGAGGTCCCCTTTATGTTGTTTCTGATATGATGAAGGGTCCCTTGTTAGTGCCCTCCCACCTCTAGGCCAGTCCATGGTTGAGTCCCTTTCGCCTAATAGAGCTCATTCCTGAAAGCTGATTGTGCGTCAGTTCCTTTCCCACTCAACCCACCTGTCATTCCTCTTCTCTATCTAACCTGTTCTTCTCATCTGTCGCCCCATAATAGAAAAGACCTATTTGTGGTTCTCCCTCTCTGCTCAAACAGTAGCTGAACTGTAATAAACACATGAAAGAAAAAAAATCCATTACTCACTTCCCCATGTTGATGCTGGGATTTTGTCTGGTTTGAGCTTGC